ATAAATAAATTAAACTTGATTTTTATAAAATTTAACATATTTATTTTATATTTTTAATAGTGTTGAATTATTATAAAGTAAGTCTTTAGAGTTGTTGTTCTAACAAAAAATTTAAAAAAAATTGTCTATGATAGATAAATAAGTCATACTTAAGATATATATATTTTTTAAAAAGTTAGATTCAAACCTATTAAGTTATAATAAAATTTAGTCTAACCTAATTTATTTTCATATTTACTTGTAATCGTAAATATAAAAAATTATAAAAATAATTATGATAATATATTTATGCTTTTAAAAGTTATATATGTAAAATTTTTAATACTACAAATATATAAATAAGTATTGCCCCCACTATCTAAAATTTATGGATCCGTCACTGACAAGGACGAACAAAAATGCAATGAAATGAACCCCAAGAGAGAGGAAGGTTCTGCCAACAATTCCCATTCATGCTTTCTCCCTCCAATCAGCCTGATCTTTATGCTATTTGCCTTGCCACACATAGTCTTCTAACCGTACGTTGGTTATTTTGGGTCGCGAGCTTTTTCTTATTTTCTCATCATTTGTATCCACTGCCACGTGACCACTACCAGCTGTCCCCACATTCTCCTCATTTGTCTTTTCTGTAATTGGCTACATTACATTTCCTGCCCCATTAAAAACAACCTTGTCCCCATGGTTGAATTCTGGAAATGCAGATTCTAATGCAGTGTGATCCTCCCAAGTTTCTTGAGTGTTATCCAATCCCTCCCATTGGATTAAGTGCTGTTGAACATGCTTAGTGCCCTTGATAATCACCCGAGACTGAAGAATAGCAGATAGTTGAAGTATTGGTTGTGCATCATTGGAAGTGATAGGTAAGGGAACATAAGATTGAGAATGATGTCCCTTACATAGTTTAAGCTGTGAGATTTGAAAGACTGGATGAATCTTAGCAATCTCAGGTAATAACAACTTGTAAGCAACCTTGCCAATCCTTTCAATAATTGGGAATGGGCCAAAGTACCTCAAACTTAGTTTCTGGTTCTTCCTCAAGGCAATTGAGTGTTGTTTATATGGTTGCAGCTTGACCAACACTTTGTCTCCAACATTAAACTACACATCCATCCGTTTCTGATCCGTATTTTTCTTCATTATTTGTTGAGCTCGATGAAGATTATGCTTAAGTTTGGACAGAATGATGTCTCTCTGCAACAACTGCTCCTGGACTAAAGTCAAATCTGCTGGATCAGGCACATATTTGACTAGCTGAGGGGGATCTCTTCCATATACTGCCTTAAAAGGACTCATACCAGCACTGCACTGTGGTGATAGGAAGTGTTATACCAGAATTCTACTCACAACAAGAATTTGAGCCACTCTTTAGGGTTTTGAAATGTAAAACACCTCAAATACATTTCCAAACACTTGTTTAGAGCCTCAGATTGTCCGTCAGATTGAGGGTGATAAGCAGTTGACATGCTAAGAGTTGTGCCACTCAACCTAAATAAGTGTTGCCAAAATTGGCTAGTAAAACCCCTGTCTCTATCTGAAATTATGGTTTTTGGAAATCCATGTAGTTTAACCATAGTAGTCACAAAGCTTTCTGCCACCTGCTTTCTAGTGTAATCTGTTTTCAGAGGAGAGAAATGGCCATACTTAGATAGTCGATCCACTACTACCATGATTACTGTAACACCATGGAAATACAGAGCTATTTGGTAGATATACTTTATATATATATGCCATACTTAGATAGCCGATCCACTACTACCATGATTACTGTGAAGCCATGAGATGAGGGAAGTCCAGTGATGAAATCCATAGCTATGTCCTCCCAAATCAAATCCAGAATAGGGAGTGGCTGTAGTAACCCCGAAGGAATAGTATTAGAGGTCTTTGCTTGCTAGCAAATTAAGCAATTTTGAACAAACTCTTTAATAACAACATTCATCCCTTGCCAATAAAATTGAAAAGAAATTCTAGCCAAAGTTCTGGAATAACCAGCATGACCACCTGTGGCAGAACCATGGAACTCTTGTAACACATGTTGGACTAAGGAATGATCAGCTAGAAGAACTAATCTTCCTTTCCGAAATAGAAGACCCTGCTGAACTGAATAATGAGGATTGGGAGGCTGGTTTTGCAAACAAGCATCCATAATCATTTTCAACTTGGAATCTGCAAGAAGTGCTTCTTTCAATTTTGGAATGAAGTGTAATTGAGGTTGGGACAATGCCATATAAAAGGATCTAGAAAGGGAATCAGCAGCAACATTATCTTTTCCCGGTTTGTATTCTATAGTGAAATCATACCCCAAAAGCTTGTGCAACCAATTCTGCTGCTCAGGGTTCAAGAGTGCCTGATTAGTAAGACTCCTCAAGCTTTTCTGATATGTTCTTATGATGAATTTATGATCCAGCAAATAATGTCTAAATTTAGCCACTGTTTCTGTAATAGCATAGAACTCTCTCATGTAAGCAGATTGTCTCTACATCCTCGAATTCAATTTTTTTGAGAAGTAGGCTATAGGATGGGATTCCTGACTCAAAACGGCACCTACTCCTAACCCCGATGCATCAGTTTCCAAAACAAATGGTTTGGAAAAATCAGGGAGGGCCAAAACTGGGGCTTTAGTGATGGCTGTTTTAAGCCTCTCAAAAGCTGCAGTAACTTGTGAATCCCATAGGAAGTTATCTTTCTTCAAAAGATTGTTTAGAGGGCCAGCTATGGATGCATAACTCTTGATAAATCTTCTGTAATATCCTGTAAGTCCGAAGAACCCTCTCAACTGTTTAAGATTTAGAGGAACAGGCCAGTTCAACACTGCTTGGATTTTATCCTTCTCCATTGCCACACCCTCACCAGAAACAGTGTGACCCAGATATTCTACCTGCTGTAATCCAAAGGAGCATTTGGACATTCTTGCAAACAACTTATGTTGCTGTAATAGTTTCAGAACCACTTCTAAATGTTGCAAGTGAGAGGACCGAGATGAGCTATACACAAGGATATCATCAAAGAAAACTAAGACAAACTTTCTAATGATACCTTGAAATATTCATTCATGAGGCTCTAAAAAGTTGCAGGGGCATTAGTCTATCCAAATGGCATAACAAGCCATTCATAAAGGCCTTGATGGGTTCTGAATGCCGTTTTATGTCTATCCTCCTCCTTCACCAATATTTGGTGGTATCCAGACCTGAGATCCAACTTGGAAAAGAAATTAGCACCAAATAACTCATCAATGAGTTCATCCACGGTAGGTATAGGGAAATTGTCTTTGATAGTGATGGCATTGAGGGCCCTGTAATCAGTACAGAATCTCCATGTACCATCCTTTTTTTTTTACCAAAATAATAGGTGAAGAAAAAGGGCTAGTACTAGGGACTATAATCCCTTCATCCAACATGTCTCTAACCATTTTCTCAATCTGTAATTTTTGGCTATGAGGGTATCTGTAAGGCCTCACCTTGACAGGTCCGGATCTTGGTTGCAAGGGAATGGTATGGTTTTGAGACCTATGAGGAGGTAGCCCAACAAGAATGGCAAAGACTTCCTTATATGTATATAACAACATAGTTAGTTCTGGCTCTGAGTCAGTAGGAATATCAATCCATTGATCCAATGGGGACAGAGGAGGTTCAATCTGCAAGGCAAACAACTTATCAATAGCATTGGTGTGAGGACCCTATTTTTCATTTCCCATTTTCACCCTTACTCATTTTTTAGCCTCACTCACCCTTCCTCACACAACTCATTTTCTCTCCAAACTCTCACTTCTCCTTTTCTCTCTTTTGCTTATGGCGATTCTTGGCAGCTGAAGGTGCATAGGGGGTCTGAGCTGATTCCTCAAGTTGATTTCTTCTCCGTTCACTTCCAAGCTTCTCTTCTCCTTCATTCTTTTCTTCTCGAAACTCAGAATCTTCACCCGAGGTAAGGGAAGCTAGTAAATTTGGCTGTTTTCGACTCAGAATGGGTCTTAGGTACTTCTATATTGCTTGTTGTTGGATGATTTCTGGCAGAGAAGGGTTCAAATGAAATTTTGGGGTTTTCGGAACTTTGAGGAAAATTTGGGGTTTTTGAAGATTTGTGGTTGCATGTGGAAAATGAACTATTTTTATTGATGTTTGATGAAAATGGGAGATATTGAATGGTTTGCATGTTGGATTTTTGTTGAGTTATGCAGATTTTGGTTAAATTTTTCAAAAATGAAGTGTTGCTGCTGAGCTTCGCGTTGAGCGTTGTTCATCGCGCTGGGCGCGTGGCCACCAGGGGACCCCATTTGGCCAAGCTCGCTGGGCACAATGATGAGTGCGCTGGGCGCGTTTGAGAATGTGGGTCTCTGGTTGGCCCGCGCTGAGCGTGACTTGGACCGCACTGGGCGCGATACTCGTTGTAACTTACTTTTGGTTTCTTGAGGCTGCGCTAAACGCGGCCCTTGTCGCGCTGGGCGTGAGACTCCTTGGGAGTCTCTACCTTGTGGGCGCTGGGCGAAATTCTGAATTGCGCTGGGCGCGAGACCAAGGGGTGGTCCCTACCTTCCCCGCGCTGAGCGCTGGGTTAGGTACGCCGGGCGCGTGAGACTCCTTTGAGTCTCTTCCTGGCCAGCGCTGGACGCAATGGCCATTGCGCCAAGCGCGAGAGAGCCTTGGGTTCTCTGGCTGAGTCCTGTCGGGGGCGGGCACACCTGCGCTGGACACGCTGGGCGCGCTGGTGCTTTTCTGGTTGCGTTGCGTTGGGCGCAACCACGTGTGCGCCGGGCGCGAAGATGAGATTGTGGTGTATGATGTTTTATGTTGAGTTGAATTGAAATGGAAGGTTATGAAATGATGTCTAGTAGATAATGTTGTTGTTGACATTAAATTGTATCTGGTGAATGTGTTGAGAAGTGGTGTTGTGTTGTAGATGATATGTTGAACTGTGAAGCTGATGTGATGAGTTGTATAGTTGTGCAGTGTTATGTGATGGCTGAGTTGTTGTAGGCCCAAAGGGCTGAGTTGTTGTAGGCCTAAAGGGCTGAGTTGTTGTAGGCCTAAACGGCTGGGTTGTTGTAGGAGATCTCCGAGTTGATATGCGTGACGACGCATTGCATGCTTATTGATGATCATGTTGAGAACCCGATGGGATGTATGTTGATGAGGTGTTGATAGTTGTAGTTTTTTTTATATTTCCTAAATCTTTCTATATGTTGTTCCTTTTTATGCTAGCTTACCCTTTGTGTTTCCATGTGGTTGGACTGCTATGATCGTACTATGTACGGGAGCAGAGCAGGGATAGGTGGTGGATAGTGGTGAGTCGGTAGCTGATAGATGGAGCTGACTTCTATGGATGCTTTGTTTGTTTTGGTCACTTGGCATAGTGACTTTTGATGTAATTCTTGTATTGCATGCCCTAACTCTAGTCGGACTCGGGACATATGTATATATTTATATTCTAGACTCTAGATTTATATACTTGTTCTACTCTGTCTAGTGTTTCCGGTGTGTTATGGTGATGAGTGTAGTGGCCAGCCGGGTCGTTACAATTGGTCTGTTGCATTCTCCTCATATGATTGAATTGGGCTGGAATAGGTAACGTGGCCTGGTCCCCATGTAAAGTTAAAAACTAATTGCCCAAGTAAAACTTCAATATCAATTTGCTATAATCTGAAACATGGGCACCCAAGGTAGCTAGCCAAGCTGCCCCTAAGACCAGATCAGCTCCAGAGACAGGTAAAAGATAAACAGGTAACTTTAAGGCATGGCCTTGAATTGTTACTTCCAAGTCCCTAATCAATCCTTCAGCTACTAGAGCATTGCCATTCCCAACTAATACTTGGAAATTAGGTATGGGTTCAATTGGCAGTTTTAAACATTGAGCAATCCTGTGTTGCAAAAAATTATCCGAGCTACCACTATCAAGTAAGACCTGTACCCGCATACCCTTGATAGATCCTTGGAACTTCATCGTACCTATTCCAAAAGACCCTTTTAAAGCATTATATGATAAGTGATGCTCCTTTACAGTCAAATTTTCCACAATATCTAAAATGTCAGGTGGATCAGGTTGGATGTCAGTATTATCATCCTCTTCCAATTGTAACAACAGGTACTGCTTATTTGGGCACCTATGGGTTGGAGAAAATTTTTCATCACATGTGAAACACAACCCCTTCTCTCTACGTAATTACATTTCAGCTGAGGTCATCTTTTTTATATTGGTGTTTCTTTGATTGGTCATAGTTGTAAGAGGGTTAGGGCTCGACAATAAGGGTGGAAGATTGGAAGACTTAAGTGATTGGGTCAATGGTAGGCTAGTGTTTGGGGATTGTGTTTTGGTTTGAGGGGAGGGATAATATGTTCTTGGTCTGGGTAAGTATTTCTCTTCATAGAGCTTAGCTAAGGACACTGATCGAAGCAATGTGGTCGGGGATTGTGCAATGACATCCCTACGAATGTCTGGTTTAAGGCCACCCACAAAACAGTCCAAAAGAGCCTCAGTGGTAACTCCTTGTACACGATTAGCTAAAGCTGTAAACTGAGCATAATAATCCTGTACAGAACCAATTTGAGTAAGTTAATTTGAACAAATTTGATCGAGGTACTTCATAAAGAGAGGGCCCAAACTCCGATTCTAGAGCTCTAGTGAATGCAACCCATGACTGAAAAGCATTAGCTCTTGACATCATCTGGAACCACGGCTGATTCTATCGTTTCAAAACGGGTCGAGTACTCCTTATCGCGGGATTCCATCTTTTTCAACAAAACGCTTCATATTGGAGGCAAGGTCCTTCAGGCGCGTGTTTTCCGCCATCTCTCAACAAAAGCACCAATGTAACAGTGTCAACAGTAAACGCAAGTAATAGAGAATAATATGTAGAATGGAATAAACTCTGTAATTATATTATTTACCAGTATGGATTTCTTACAAGAAAACGAATACTACTATCAGTATAGCAGTGATTACAGAGCACAAGGACGAACAGAAATGCAATGAAATGAACCCCAAGAGAGAGGAAGGTTCTGCCAACAATTCCCATTCATGCCTTCTCCCTCCAATCAGCCTGATCTTTATGCTGTTTGCCTTGCCACAGAGAGTCTTCTGACCGTACGTTAGTTATTTTGGGTCGGGAGCTTTTTCTTATTTTCTCATCATTTGTATCCACTGCCACGTGACCACTACCAGCTGTCCCCACATTTTCCTCATTTGTCTTTTCTGTAATTGGCTTCATTACATACTTACCCTTTGAACTAATACTCTTCCTTTATGCCAGTGTGATATTAGAAGAAAAAATAATATTGATTATCCTATTTTTATGATTTATTTTGCTCTTCTATTTTTTAAATTTTGGTCAATTTTCTTCTTCTGAAATAGTGATTTTTTATATTTATTTTGAAACATTCTCAAAAATTGTAATTCCCAATGTTTATAATTTTTAGAAATCATGTTCACAAATACGAAAAAATTTCTCTCCCACTATATGTCTCTTTAGCGTGCCACCATAAGTTGCTCTTCAATTATATGTTTTTGATGCTTAGTGCGAGACTTGTTTCACACTTAACATCAAAGTACCATGTGCTGTCTATGGCTCTGGCACTTAGCTAAGAATGCTTACGATTAGTAACCAAGCTTTGGCATTAAGCATGGATACTCTACCTTTTGTGGCTTTCGCGTGGATATTATAATCAAACCTAACATTTTTCTTTACTTTTTTTTCTTGAAACTTCTTTATCTTTATCCACCATTCATTTTCTTCTATATTTTAATTATCTTTATGTTTTCGTATTCATAACCTTTAAATCACTCGGATCAGTATAATAGATGGAAAATTATGTTAAATACATATTAGGTGTTAAGTTCAATCTTCCTTATCGTATAGTAATATTTTTTTAAGAGAAATTCTATGGTATTTGTATTATTTAGGAAGGTACCGGTAATTAT